GTTGAACTGAAAACAGAGTGTGCAACGTCCCCCATGTTTTAAGCCCCCTTACTTAGAACGCCTACAACCCCAACGCGCATCCCGGCCTCATCGCCGCGCCCCTATGGCTCCATTATAGGGGGCTTAGAACATGTTGAGGAGCCTTCATGCACTCCCTTGGTGGGTGGACGTGTTATCCCCCTCTGTGGGGTCGAAGCCTTGCACAGACTGGCACACACCCCCCTCCCGGAACTAAGCACTGGACTACATCACAGACCTGCTTCGACCCCCTCGGCTCATGGGGTTTTTCTCCACTCTGTCTCTCTCTCTCTCTCTCTCTCTCTCTCTCTTGCTTGCTTGCTTGCTTGCTTGCTCGGGGTATGGGCCTCCGGGGAAGCCCTGGCCCGTAGGCCTACCCCCTCTCTCTCTCTCTCTCTGTCTCTCTCGAAAGGCTGCTCAGTTTTGGAGTTTAGGGCTGCCTTCCTTTTGATAAGACAAGGGCGCAACTGTCACGCATGCCAGGAGCCTGTGCTGTCAGCATGACACTACATCACGGTTTGCATTAAGAACGATTCCATCTCCAATTTTGGAAAGCCTCAGGAGAGCTCAGGACGAAGCTGAAACTAGAAACGAAGCATAGCCAGCCCGTCCCCTTAAGAGTCACCTGGTCCTCTGTACAGCACAAGACGGAGGACATTCGCAGCAAGATTGGTCTTTCGAAGTTGCATAGTGTGCTCTTGTTCTTCCTTCATGGTCAGATCTTACCATTCAGCCGAACTCCTGACCAAAGCCTACATTATCTACATTGAGGAAGCTCCTGGTGCGACATGCAAAGCAGGCAGAGGCTGACAACTCAAATCTACAGCGCATCTATAGATGCTTTTCGCTGCCCTGCAGTGATCTCTAACTGTTCAATTCCTGCTGGACAAGGGCGTGGAAGGGATATGGCGGATCGCTGAAGGGTTGAACGTGAGGGCCTGGGCATTCGGCGACTGCTGAATCAGCTGAAGCTCGCGCTGCAAGCGCCTGTGGCGAGCAATCTGTGCAGGATATTTGCGACGACAACCTGTCGGAACCCAAGCCCTGCTCGTCAGGTGGCATCTACAGCTTCGGTTCGCTCTTCAGTCAGACAATCTCCCTGGCCTCACAGAAGGTGCACTGGCTGATGCGCCCTGCAACAGCAGTCAAGCTCTTCTCCGAGAGGCTCCAAGTTGCAGCTTGATGCATGCCGGTTCTGGCATCATCACAGATTAATACAGTAAGATGCGGTTTCTTCGGATGATCCGAGGGCAAAGGGATGGCGCAGCCCGTTGGCACAATTTCATAAAGGAGTATCTTGGCAAACAGTATCGCCCTGAAAGTTGCCTCGAGCGCCCTTCAGTTTACAAAATCACGACCGAAAATGGGCTTGATCCACGTAGTTGCATGAAAGCCCCTGCCTGCATCTTCTGGCAATCAAATCTCAGCACTTCGATCGTGTCAAGCGGGCACGAAGAAAATTGCTTCGTGTAGTGTCGACATATCACATAACCTGTTCAAGGATTGCTGGAGTCCAGGTAGCCAGCGGCTGTCATTAGAACCGCGACTGTCGTGATCTTGGGCATCTCTCGAGCTGAAGCCGACATAACACCGAGGCATGCCAGCCAGTGCATCTATTGGGTGAAGCCGCCGGGAACAACCCCAACGAACATGGATAGACCCTGATCAACAGTACAGTTTACTGCCCGTCAGGTTTACATGAGAACGCGTTTTGTTCGCATCTGCTGTGGCGTTGTCCCAGGTTCGGCTGCTGGCCCAGCATCATGAAACGTGATGAGTGTCCGGCATGTGCCACCAATGCTCTATTTGCACCAGCAGCATGAGTCAGGCTCTTGTTCCAGCGTGGCCTACAATGCAAATTTACGCCTCCGCCCTTCATAACTAGATGGCCATGATTAGAGACCCAACTGCGTCCTCTCAATGACAACGACACCCAATCGCCAATGAAAACTAGGCTGCCGGCATGCTTGATTTGCATGCAACTCAAGCAATTTCGCCGGCGTGAAAGCTTGCCTGTATTTGAGATTAAATGGAGTAGGTCTGTTGCCAGAACAAAACTACACATGGGTAGGGTGGTTTCGCTCTTGGGTACAATCTACTTCTTCCGGTTGGAGTCGTTGGACATCGCATGCTGATGCCATGCCGATTGAAACCTGGCTGGAACTCACGCGTTCATGCTTCTTGTCATTCCTTGACTTTGTTGCTCGTGTGCTGTTCAAGTTTCGAAAATTGACCCGACTCCTCTTTAGCATCGTTGCAACACATGAAGAGCAGTGTGCTGACCTTGTGGATTTCGGCGGAGGTACATGCCAGTGGATTGCAACGATCCGCCTGACCCGTCTTTTCTCCCAATTTTTACTTCACTCATAAAATGGAATGTAATATGCTTCAGCTTGCTCAACTAAATATTCAGCAGGGGCTTGGGGTTGATTGTCAGATCATTCGCATCCCCCACAGATAACTCATCGAAAGTGCACAAAAGCATTCAGAGTTTCTTCCGTAGCTGGTTGCACGACTCTGCGAGAAGAAGCATTCTTGCCAAGGCACCCAATTCACTGTTCCATCTGATTATGATTTACTTTCACAGGTCCCTTTGTTGTTGGGTCTCGAAATGTGCTGTGAGATTCGCAACCCCATCCGAGGAGCTTGTAAGCGGCCGATTGCTCCACATACGCGCAGCAAGACAGCTCTCCAATTTTGTGCAAGTTGTCACCGATACCTTGAACCGACTGCGCTGCGAAATCGAAGAAGGACACACTTCGTGCGGACGTGCTGGTCGACTTCTTCAGGTGTTTTTACTGTGAGCGTGAGATTCTGTGCTATCAAAAATCGCTTGTCTTCCTTTCATTGCTCCAAAACCCCTTGATGTGCTTTGATGCACTCTCCGTTCGTTGAACTCAAGGAAGAGTTGGCCTCAAGATTAGCAACACGAAGAACTCAGCAACGTATTCCCAGTCTGGAACTGCACGACTTCTATGTCCGAACAAAGTAGACCCTGACGGTCCTTGACTTGTCTAGGCTTGGAGAAGAGAGGTCATTCCTTCGCACGGCTCCGTGCGAGCAGCTGGACAAATACAGTTGCGACGATGTTGAATGGAGTACTGAACACGACGACCAGATCTAGCGCAGCAATCACCTACTACTCGGGTTGCAGACACACTTGAAAAGCCCTGGCTGCGGCCACAACTCGAATACGACATGTTCTGTAGCACGCTCGCCCTGCTTTTAGCACTCGGAAGAACAGCGACGTTGTCTCGATAAAGGCCAAGCTGGTGCGTAGTCGGAGGAGTGTCTGAGTCTGATCTTGCAGACACTCCCCTCACTTGCAGATCCGTTTGGATCGCACAGGCAGTCTCAAAGCACAGGTTGGCACTGTGAATCTCTGAGGCCACAGGTCGACGCTCCAGGATCATCGCGGCTCTTGAACCGCGATCCCCTGCTGGCGGCTGCATAGTCTGGTCAAAGAACTCCCGTTGTCACTTGGTGCTGCTTGGACAGCTTGCCGAAACTCTGGAATGATAATCTTCTGCGATCCTGCGCCATTGGCCTGACATCTGCAGATTAGGCCAAGCAGCAACTGGTCCATAGAGTATCCAGCGCGAGCGAGCAGCAGCATCGCCGGCGCAAGGCGTAGTGAAAGCAGCCCAGAACTTCATCTTCACGACCACCGTTTCTCCTTCATTCCCTTTGCCAGTCCATGCAGACTCGGTCAACGGCCTGCTCAACTGCAGAGCCGGACAGCTGTCGCTTGACGGATGTCATGCCGTTGTCAGGAACACGTGGTCATGATCGCGAAGGCGAGGATCCACTCGAGGAGAAAGGATTCGATCGCTGGCAGACACGTGACAGACAGAATGGTGGACTCGAGGCATCCAGATTCTTCAGGTCTCGTCAGCCAGGAGTTGATGCAGGTTCGTCATCGCTCTCACGAAGTCTGGATCCTGATGTCGGATTTTCAGGTTACGCCACATGGCTGCCTACATCAGCTTGTATCTGCTTATGTCTCTGTGCTACTGCTGTCGATGTCTTGTGAAAGCTACAATGATTAATGCTTGATGCCACCGTCTCATATCCCTCCTAACAGGGACCCTTGCCGCGCCTTCCGGAGCATGTGCATGAAAGCTTGTGGAAACCCCATCGCTCTGCACAAAGAGCACCTGCTCCTCCTGGGCAAGGAAAAGGCTTCGGGCTTTCTTTGGGTCGAGGCCCGACAGCAGCATGACGTAATCATGCGCGCAGCGCATCGCTTTATACTGTCATGCATCTGCGGCCTGCATGTCAGTGGCTGCAGACGCCGATGCGAAAAGCCGCCCTGCCGCTGTGGGAGTATTAAGTTGTAAAGAAGCACGAAAAATCTTCAACATGCTTCTCGAGCCACCACATGCACAGCAGCAGCGAGTGCAAGCACAGCGCAAACAAGCCTGATTGCCGCACTCGCTCCTCCAGAAGGGCTGCACAGTGCGCTTGCTTCCCAACATAAGCGGGGCAGTACGAGTAGGAACCCTACCCTGCAAATGTACATTCCATGACTCCACCCTGCAGGTCCTGCCATCCGTCGTCGCCGGGGAGGACGGGCCGTGGCGGGAGAAGCGGCGGACTCAGCACGCCAAGCAGCCCCAATTGGCTGCCAACTCGTGATTTCTCCCAAGGACTCTTCAGGGTTGCAATGCAGGCATAAGTGTCTGCAGTTGTCACAGGGCTCATAATCCAAGTCCGTGGCGGCCATGCTGTCCCACCGCGCAGCTCTTCCAGAAGGATGTCCTGAGGCATACAGCACACAGCATTTCACGCCTCTTTAAGCAAAACCAAACAGCCAGGTACGGCCAACAGTTGTTCGCTGAATCGGAGCGATGCAGGCAGCAGGGCGGGCTCCTGCTGCACTGCCTGCTCAATGCTTTCGCTCGCGCGCTGAACGGCTCGCTCTGCTGCCTGGCGCCGGGCGAAGAGAAACTCGCCGGCACAGGATGGCACGTGATGGCACGTGTCCGCAAATCGTCCTCGTCTTCAGCAGTTGAAGCTTCCTCTTGCCTCTGCCTCGCATTTGCTCAGCTGCTCATGCTGTTCTTTACAATCACAATCAGTCACGCCAAGCATGCAAATGCTGAGAATGCTGAGAACCTGGCTCAAAGACTTTTGCCATCTGCCGTTGGCTGGCATCTGTGCGAAAGCGGGCACTGGTGCGAACGCACCGCTCTATTCCACCAATTCCACCAATGAGTGAGCTTCAGCTTATGCCAGCTATGCGATAGAGGGGCGTTCCTTGCTGGCTCACTGAACCATGGACTACTATGCAGGTGGTCTTCAGTTTGCACCGTCGAAAGAAACAATTGAGGATGTCACCCTGTCGTGCATGTATCACGTGCATGTCGAGTCCCTCTGAGGGCTCGGCTAACTGCCCATCTCGCAAAAGTTGCGTGGGCCCTTGCGTTGGCTTCGTAGAGGTCCCTGAGAACAGAAGATCTCGACCCACGGCTTCACCGACACTAACAGCCACAAGAAACAACAGCAGCACTCGAACCAGACTTGTGATGCAAGTCGGTCGCAGTGCTGTGCCCAAGGCACCAACGCAGTACTCAACGGCCCCTCTGAAATTGGCTCCGACCTTTGTTGGTATCGCACGACCGTGGTTCGCTGGTGCATGATCTGCATGGCAGGCGGCTGTGATGCACTGGTAGCGGTGGGTCGGGGTAGACAGTTGTGCAACCGAGGCCTCTGCCACTTAGACAAGCCCTGGGCGGCCAGTTCGGCGTGCATGGCAAAGTTAGGCCCGCGTGGGCGGGGCACAAGTGGCTCCTGAAGAGCGCTGGCCATTTGTGATGAAGTACAGCTCAGGGTGTGCTCCTCCGGAAGGGTTTGCCATGGAACTTGCCTGACACGGATTTCCTGCGGAAGCCTGGCCAAAAAGCCCACAGCTGCATTGTGAGAGAGAGCGCATCGAAGACGGCAGCTGAGTCTCGGCCTCCAGCGCTCGAAGACGGCAGCCTGCCATCCCTGAACCACGACCTTCACCAAAAATGATGCAAAACACTACCCCACGAACTGATGCAACCTTAGCTCAGAGACCAAGACTGATACCGCGCTTTCGAGAAGACAGCTCTGGGTTCTGGAGTGATCCTAACGCTGTGCCGAAACTCGAACAATGACATTGCACCTTAAGCAGCATCCGCTCCAGCATCCTAGCCTGCCACACAGCATGAGGGAAGTAAACTTGCTGCTCGCACTACAGTGCGACCATCGTGGATGAGACTAGGGCGCCAAGTAACCCAGGCAAACCGGCCTGCTGCAGTCCTAGTTCCATTGAATGCGGATCAGGTCGACGCGGCCGGCTCAGCTTTGGAATCTCTGGAACTGCCTCAGCGGAAATGTCAACTCTGGAGATCTGCAACATCTTGATCGACCTTTTGCAGCACGCCTCGACTGAAATGCTGCGTGAAGAGATCTCTGCTGTCTGGGTCACGCCCACCTGCATCTAATGCAGTCGATCATGTTCACAGCTTCGGGTAGATCTACAGCTGAGCAGATTTCGTCGCGAGTGCGTGTGCAGGGTCACGGCAAGGTGAACATCCCTGTAGGTTCAGTGGCACCTCCACTACTGGGGCAGCTTTGGCGACATGCACCTGTGGTGTCTCCTGCCAGGGAGCAAGTTGCACCGCGACAAGTCACCTGGACAACGACGGCCTGCACATGAACTGCAGGGGTCAACTTGAAGTGCTGCAGGATCTCCTCGTCATGAGGGCTCTTGCACTATGACACTATGTAGACAAGGATGGACACCTGGTTTGAAAGTCTTTGTCAATTCTCCATACTTGTGACTTTTCTTCTTTGCCCAGAGAATGCATTACTTGCGACTTCTTCTTTCCAACCCGTGGTTTCGTTTGACTCGAGGACTTCAAACTCGGGCCCGCTTCTTGTCCGGACTTCTTTTGTCCTCGTGAGGCCCGCTCCTTTTGGGCTTCAATGGCCCAGTCGTTCTGGGCTTAGCGGTTCCTTTACTTCACATTTCTTCCAGGGTGTTCGGGCTTGCCATTCAATATCTCCACGGATAACAGCCGCCACGTTTGGGGTTCACGGCTGACCATCTTCTCTTGGGGTTGGCAACTTTACAGCTATGGCTATAGCTGTGACGCGCTTGGCAAACTCCTTTAAGTGTACGGGTCGGCTTGCAGCTCTTGGACACTGATCATCCCCTGGCGGGGTTGTTCACTCGTCTGTGGTTCGCGGCTGTAGTGCACTCCTTTGACGTTCTTTTCGTTGTTTTGTCTTGGGCTTGGCGCTCATCAATATCATCTCCTTTCATGGAGGTTCTCTAGGTTTGTGGAACCAGTCATTGTTTTCAGTATTTGCCGCCCATCTTTTCCCACTTGGGTGTTTGGCAGCCCTTCCCTTTTTTCGGACTTCGCTTCAGGATCCATAGTGGCATGATCAACACGAAATCAGGCCACGGTGCCCAGAGCAAAGGGGACACAAACAACAAAAGAACTCACAAACAAGAAAACAAAACAAGCTCCACTTAAGGATGCTACCAAATAAAGATCTTAGCGGCTTGTGCAGCGACAAGTGTCCTGGTAGACGGAGCCTCTGGTGACCTTCACATGCTGTCGCTCCCCCGAGTCAACATCGCAAACTTTAAGTTCCGTCATGTTCCGTCCCCATCCGCCAGACCTCCAAGTTTGAGGCAAACTGCAAAGGCTTGCACAGTGAACTGAGGTGCTGTTGCACGCAGGGCGTTGCACTGCGGGGCTTGTTCAGGAACATGCCAGGCCTCCTCTTTGAGTCGCTCCAGCTCAGCCTTCGTCACAGAGGTCACTGCATTTTCCCAAATCTGGTGAGCAAGTCCGGACAACGAAGCAACCGAGTCCTGCAGCTACACCTGACCCGGCTCGAAAACAACTCCCACTGGGTACTGCGAACGAGGGCCTGCTGATTCTTTCGCGCATCCTCTGCCTCAGAGACCTGCCATTTCAAGCAAGCCTCAGCTCTCTCGCGAGGAGGTTGCAACTCTACACTGGCCTTTTCCTTCAGCATCTCCATCTCCAGTGCCTGCTGCTGCCTGGCTGCCTTGATCTGTTCCACGAGGGCCTCCCATAGTTGCTTCTGACACGCTCGTCCACGATCGACAGCCCCAAAATATTCAGCCTCACGCTCAGCTGCTGCGATCTGCTGTTGGCGTTGGAACACCTTTCTGGAAAGGCATGCTGAGATTTCAATCGCTGAAGCATTCCAGACTCGCCACCTCACGCTCCATAGCCCCACGTTGAATGTCGAGATGCTGACTTGGCAGCACCTGCCGTCTTGAACAGCTGGTTTCAGGCTTCAGCTATGAACAACTTCCACGGCAGTCTCCAAGCGATGGAACAGCTGCAATCTCATGGCATCAAAGGGTCATTGGCCTGCTCTGTCTGCTGTTGCACAGATCTCGCTTCCTGCACCGGCAGTGGTCGAACTAAACTAAACTCATCGCCCAAGGTGTGGCCTCAGGCTGGCTTTGTTGGGCAGTCGGAAGAAAGTCCTGCGCAGCAATTGCGCAGCACAGCAGGGTTCCATTCCGGCAAAGTCCAGATTCACAGAGAGGTGATGCTGTCATGGAGCCGCGGGCTCCGTTTTTTCCACCCGTCCTCTTCCCCGGCCCTGCGCTGCAGCGCTGCCTGCTGCCGCTCGAGGGCCTGGCGCGGCGCGACAGCTTCTTCTCGCACTTAATCCGGAGCTTGTTCATGGGTGTGTTCTGCCTGAGGTCGTGCTGAAAACGAGAGTCTTGCAATACTCAATGATACTGTGGAGCGAGCAGTGCCCTAGTTAGTCACCAATCCCGTGGAGGACCGCGGCTGCGACAGCCTCCCTCTCCAGAGCGTCGCGCTGCAGCTGCAGTTCGCGGCGCTGCCGCTCCAAGTCCTGAATTTGTGGCGCTCGGATGGGAGCAAACACAGTACCAGTACCGAGCGGAAACTGAGCGAGATTGTGGCTTTTGAATACCACAGAAATCTGCAGAATCCTTTCTTTGCACCAGGCCTCCCGTTGTGCAGCGAGCTCCCGCTCTTTGATCGCCTGGTGGAGTGGATGTGCAACCGATGTCGAGATGACCGCGACTACTCCGGTTGCAAATATCGACACTTCAGCGGGAAAGCACAGGCTGGCAATGCTCTTCGAAACTCGTCCATGTCAGATGCTACACACAGGCAAAGCAGGTAGGACCGCTGAGGACCCAAGAGGCATCAAGGCGCCTCACGCTTCATGTCCTCATCCTGAGTGACATTGAGCCACGAGTCCGCCTCATCGAGCACGAGCACTCGAAGGTATGACGTTGACTCCCAACGCACGGACAGTTCATGACACATCCGGCTTCCCGTGAAAGGCTGTGGACGGTCGTGCTGCCTCAGAGCCCTCCCTCACGATCGCAAAACAAGACGTTCAAACAGCCCAGAACAGCACGGCCTGCGTGAGAGGCGCGTTGGCCAGCTGACTCTCCTCCTGCTGCTTCTGCTTCTCCATCATCTCGCAATACGGAGATGTAGGAAGAGGCGAGGCATGCATGATGCAACGATCGTGCATGGTCGTGTACGTAGGCGGCACCAGAAGGAAAATACAAGTGTTGCAGTTGATCACACCCACATACACCCACACAACAATCAGCATGCTGGTGAGCAGCACTCGTCATGCCACCAGCCTCACATCCTACCGTTTTACACGCGTCTTAGACTCGTGCCTCTGCAGTTCGCTGCTCCAAGGCCTCTCGCGTGCGGGAGACTTTGCACCACTGTTTAACCGCTCGGCGTCAGTTGCTGGAGGGACCCAGGAACCCCAGGGGACCTGCAGTTCGGCTTCCTGGTGCCGACGTGCAGCCTCAGCGGCCTGGGCGATTGGCGGTCTGATGGTATCCCCGATCATCACGGCATGCCCAGAGCTTGCAACATCTGTTTGTAGGTTATTGATCTGCGGGCCTCCGCCTGCTCTTTCAGCTTTTGCTGTTCTGCCAATGCCTGCGGCAGCTTGCAAGATCATTGATTCTCCAAACAATTTGTGGCTCGATATCTCTCGCAGCATCTCCGACGTACTGCTTGTGCCGAGAGCGTTGCTTGCCTTGCTCTATGTCTTCGCGACTACCAGGTGCCTTCCTCTCGGCCTCGACCCGCTTGCTCTCGGCTTCCGCTGCCTGTTTTGACATTTGCGAAAAAGAAGAGAAAGGGAAACGACTTGTGCAGGAAAGCAGCTGCCGTGTTGCAGCTCCTGGCACGTCGGGCCCTGCAGAAGCCCTGGCCTGCGCTTCTCTTTCCTTTTGCAAACGCTTCTTTTCCTCCCAAGTTGAAACATCTCGGGCGCATCTACAAGCAGCTCGTGGCTCGGCACAACTACAGAGCTCGTTGGAGCAAGCCAAAGAGAGAGCCATTGAAACTAAGCACAGTGCAGTTCAATGGCTGATCTCTTCCAGGCTGCCTCCTGGTATGCCTTCTTGGTTGCTTCCTCCTTCTTTTCTGCCATAGCCTCTTTGTAGTCCTCCGCAAATGCCGCACAGATGCAGAACAAACTCACCCCAAAGACAGCAGAACGCATTTTCAGTAGCTGGATTCTCGCAAAGTCCATGCATGCCGTCCTTGAACCAGCAACTGAGAACTTCTTGTAGCAGCAGCTCGCAGTGCTGCCTGTCCAAGACTCCACATCACTGCAGGAATTATTGTCATACCTGGAAGGGCCGGTGGATTGGGTTTAAACTTAAGCCTTTACAGCTAAAGTCGATGGCCCATTTGGAGGGTCTTAGACACATGTCCAGGTGCCTGTACATCTTTTCAGCGATGGAGTCTGCCGCCCGCTCGGCCTTTGCAAGTGCCTGGGGCGACAACATAGTTTCACAGCCAGCTCTAGTCACTCTAGTCCACCTTCAGAAGCTTCATGATTGCTGTTTTCACCCGCAAAAGCCTCCTCTTTCATCCGTCGCACTTCCGCTTCGTGCTTGCGCTTAGCCTTGAGCCATGTGATGTCGCTGGCACAGAAGCTTGCCGGCATGACGCGGCAAGATCACGAGAATTTTCAGTCACATCTTGCGATGTGGAAAGAGCAACCCTAGCATCCCGGAAGGGCCTCCAAGCGCTGTCGCTCACTTGCGGCCGCATGCGTTTCCTCGTCGAACGGCCGCAGGATTCAGACTTCCGGAAGCAACCATGTATCGAACGAAGCGCGGATGCTGCGGAAATACCCGATGCTGATTGTCATTGTTGCAGACTTGCGGTCAAGCTGCTTCCTGCCAAAGGTTCACGCGCATGCTGAGAAGCTCCTGGGCACAGAGCAGAGCGACTCCCGAGTGTTAGGCTGGTCGTAACCCAGGAGTGCTACCAGCTACCAGAGAGGCCTGTTGTCGCTCGGCGCTCATTCGGTCCGCGAGTTGGTCTGCCTTCTGGCGATCTCTTTCCAATTCCTGGCCAGCAAGGCGGACAGCGACCGAAGCCCAGCCGCGAAGGGCGCCTCTTCCCGAAGACGCCGCCGGTTCTCCTCCATGACCTCCTCAAACCTTCTCCGCTCTTCGGCCTGACGGAGCTCCTTCCACGTACTCCATGCATGGCACTTGTGCTAGAGGTGTGAGAAAGGAACGTTTCAGCTGTCTCAGAGGAACCGCGGCAAGTCCTCCTCTTGTTTTCGGCGCATGTCTTCTACATGCTGTCTTTTTTCCTCGCAACGATGTCGCGAGAGCATCCATTCACGCCAGCCGTCTCATGAAGCCGTCTTATGAGGTTCCCCTTGCCCAGCACTGTGCAGAAGGTCCTCCTCAAGTAGCCTCTCCTCCTCGCGCCGGGCTTCTTCCTGTTAAGGTTCTCGACATTTCAGCTCGTTCTGGGTTTAGATCTGCAGCCAGACCATGCTCTCCTGCTTCCGGCGTTCTTCTTCTGCTTCTGCCTTCTCTGCTTCTGCTCTTTGCTGCACTTCCTGATCTTGAGACAAAAGGTGGGAGAGCACCTGCCCTTAAAAACTTTGTGACCTGCATTGCCCAGCGCAAGCCTCCTTCTCCTGTTTCTGTCTCGCCTCCTTTTGCCGCGGGGCTTCTTCCTTTTGCCCGTCATCCTGCATAGGTCGCGGAACCAAGCTGACAACAACTACAAGACAGCTTGGAGACAGCCGTCCTTCGGTGGCGACTCTTGCACTGCTTCCGGCTCTCGCCCGATTGCTTCGGCTTGTTCCGACACAAAAGGCTCCGCCAGCACCGCCGTGGGAGCTTCTCGCACGCTCTTCGTCGCGCCCACCGGATCCTGGGCTTGGACGTCTCCGCCTGCGCACGAGGCACCCCATGCCAAGCACAAGCAGAACGTGTCAATTTCAGAGAGCCTGCAGCTGCGGCCGCTTCCGCAGCAGGCAGTGCCTGATGTTGCAAGCATCCCCACCAAGACAGATCAACCAACACGGCCTTCTGATTCAGGCGGGGCACCAGCATCAGACATGCACGAAAAAAACACGAATCCTTGACTGGAAAGACCTTTCCCACTATTTCCTGCTGAGGCTTACATGCTCGCGACTACCACAACAAGGAGGAGCCGCTTGAAGTGAGGCTTTACAACCTTTCTCACCGTGTGTACTGCAGCATCCGATTATGCAGACTTTGCAAACAGTCCCACTCAAATCCTCTCAAGATGTTACACGGAGTCGATCGACGGTTGCCGGTTGCTAAAATCCGGCATCTGAATGCCGATGGTTGATGTCGCACACCTTGGCCTCCTTCTTTGCCATAGCCTGCGCACGCTGCTTGGCCTTGAACGGTGCAGGCAGGCATGGCAAGAGCAAACTCAGCGCTGCCACTAAGTCGAACTGGGCTGTCGGCTTTCTTCTCTGCCTCGACCGCTGCGCGGGCCTTGCTTGCTACCTGCACGGAAGGATGGTGGCTGACTTCGCGTTGACTGCACTAGTCACCGCACTCTTCAGAGCGACGTGAGCTTCGAAGGAGACCCGCCTTCTCCTCCGCAGCTTTGCGAGCTTCCACGGCACGCAGCTGAGCTGTAGCCGCGCTTTGTGCTTTCCTTGCAGACTAACATGTATGGCTCAGACTCTAACCTTCCTGAGTACACAGAACGCCGAGGCTCTCAAGAACCTCCTCGGCCTCCGCAGCTCTGCTGGCGGCTTCTGCAGCCGCCTCAAAACCGTGAGCCATAGCTCCGCAAATTCCAACTGCCAAAAATGTGAGAATTAGCTTCGAACTGCCCGGGCCTTCTGCAGCTGGGCCATTTCTGCATCTGCACGCAGCTTAGCAGCCTGTACACGGAGATTCAGGGTCTTGTGGTCTTAGTCTTGCAATGTCTTACATCTTGCCGAGCCACCTCTACCTCTTGCAAATACTCAGCGGCTTCTTCGACGGCCTGAGGAGTGTTGCGAGTTTTTTTCTGCAGGAAGCTTGCAGGAAGGCACACAGGAAAGCAAGACTTTGGTCCTTCCACTCGTCCCGTGCCTCGTGAGCCAGGCCAGTCTCATTTCCACTCTGCGCTTTCGCGAGTTCCAGTCTGGCTGCGTCCAACGCAGCAAGCCACTCCCGAGCTTCCTGCAGCGGATGAGAGAGCAACATTGCAATTCCCCCTGGTATTTCTCCTGGTGTGCTACTCACAATGCTTCTTCTGATCAGATGAGGCCCCCTCCAGCTGCGCCAAACGCAAGCGTTCTGCAGCCTCCTGGGCCTCTCTCCTTGCCCGCGTCGCCTCTCGCAAAACTTTTTAGACTTTCCATCGATTTTCAGAAGACGCAAAATGAAGCCTCACCTCGTCCTCAGCTCGGCGCACCGCGCGGGCAGTGGCATCCTGCAAAGCTACGTAGTCAGTAGTCCCCGCTGTCGGGGCTTTTCGCCAGCAATCTTTGCCCTCTTCGCTCCTGGGCTGCGGCTGCCTGCAATGCGCGCAGCTGAGCAAGCTGATCCTGGACACCCCGATGCATCTCTGACGCAGAGGTGCACTCACCCTGCAACTCGCTAGGCGATCTCCCAAAATTCGACGTCAACTGTGGCTGTCTCTTGGCTGCACGCCTGCGTGTCCTCTTGGCCATGTGCTTGCTTGTCCGCCGGGCTGTGCCCATCTGAAGTGGCATCTATGTCTTCGATCGCATCCTGCGCCTGTGCCACATACATGCGCACAACACAGGATTTGCACCCACGCAGGCCAGCGCTGTAGACAACTGCAAGTCCTCGTCTGTTTCCAGCGCTTGCCTAATGACCTTCCCGGCGTCCCACTGCGGCTGCTGTCAACACTTTCACGACCCGTTCTATGCTCCGCAGCTCGTGCCCCACATCTGGTGCTCCGAGCCTCCTGACGACGCTCTCGTAGCTCCGTCTTGTGGGTTTGCCAGGCTTTCGAGAAGTTTTCTGCCTTCCAAAACTCAGGCAAGGTATGAGATCCCAGTTTGCTTGCAAGCACTTGCTGGCACAAGGTTGCACCACTGTTGCAGCTAGAAGCTGTCTCGTGGGATAGCACTGCGAATGTCAAGGCCCTGAATCCTGAAGAGCAGCTCTCCTAACCCCCCCTTCCCCGTCGGAGACGTCAACTCGGCGCCCCGTAATCCTATAGGAAACCTCCAACCCGATACCGAGAGAACTGGACCTGTACCCGGAAAATCGGTCCCGTAGTTGGGATTGACAAGATACGAATTCGGAATGCCTTGCAGTGCAGCCTCCAGGACATGAAAAGATGCACCTCCAAACAGGGAAGGTCTCCGAATGCAGTCTCTACTCACTCCATTGGAGTCCACCGAGCTGTAGTGTCGTACTGCTGCCTGACTCTAGACATCTCTGAGTCTGGACAGGTCAGGGTGGGTTCAGTTGGCGTCTGCTGAGAGGATCCAGGGGCCTCTTAAGCTTCAGCTCCTGCCTGCAGAATCTTCATTCGGTAGAGAAAGAGCATGTCCCCAACCTGAATCTGAAATGCAGGCCCGGCAAGACTTGAAGGCTCTCGGCCTGACTCGAAGCTACGTTTCGCAAGGTCTGGACGTGCTCCAAACCAATGGCCCGCTGCTTGGCCGCGCGGAAGCCTTGCAAGGCTCGGCCTGCCGCACAGCCCGCACAGCACGTCACCGGATTCAGGCGGCAGCTACAGCCCACGGCCTTGCAAGCGCAGGAGTTGAGCATCCGACCTGAGAAAGTGCACGGAGAGAGCGCGGTGCCACGCAAGATGACCGAAAGTGTCAGCAGACCAAAGCCCACGCTCCTCCAAGATGCGCTGGGCCTCTGCTTCACGCCACCTCGACAGCAGCAATTCGATGCCCTCTCAGTCCTGACCCCACACACAAAGCATGCAATACTCCCCATGCAATGGACTAGGGAGCATGCCTGCTTGCTTTTTCGAACACAAGGCATTGGCGCCAGGCCTGAACCATGTTGAGTCGACCATGGCCGATCTGCAAATGATTGCCATAAAACTGCAGACCAGGCCATGAGGCATCGGAAGGCAGAGAAGCGTAGTTTGACCTTCAAAAAGGACACACTGAAGATCGGCTTACCTCGGGGAATGGGTAGGCTCTTTCCGCCTTCAGGCGGCCGGCCAACACTTCCACGGCATTCTTTGTCTGATCCGCAAGCTTCTGCTCCAGCCCAGCACAACCTGGGCAAGGTGAAGTGGTGGCAGTCGAAGAGCCAGTGTGGTCTGCTGAAGCTGCTTCTCGGGAGCAAATTCGAACAAAGCTTCCGAGGCAAGGAGCTGTCGTCCAGAGTGCGCAGTGTTCTAGAACTGGATCGCAGCTCGCGTTCCAAGGCTTGCGTGTAGCTGCACCTGATGACTGACGCAGAAGCTGTCATGCCTGCTGTTTGCGGAATGCAAACAGGCACCCAGCAACATGCTTTCAAGCACCTCACTAGAAAGATAGAGCATGTATTGATTTCGTCTGAGGCTTCATGGCACACTACCTCGACGATACATGATGATACTTCACTTCAACTGGGATAGTAAACCTGCGCCCCAACAGCAAGATTCCCTTTTCTCCTCAACGGCGACACAATCGATAGGAAAACAGGCGCAGCCCACTGGAAAGCATGCCGCGACAACTGTTGACTTCTAGACCACGGTGTGAGAGCACGTCTCGGGCTCGCGGGGCAGTGCCCCTGTTGGGCAAGTTGCCACCAGAGGCCCTTCTCAGATCAACCCCACTGAGGAGCTGGAAAGCCATAGTAGCCACAAATGGCCTGCGTTTCGGCACTTGTCTCTCGTTGGATCTGGATGGATCTTGCAACTGCCACAGGAGAAGCGAACATGTCAGGTGTTGACGCTCTCACGAAGCCTCCAGCTCCTTGCGGAGTCGCAAGGCGTGGTCAGGGCCTTCACAGCCCTGGATGCTGATGCAGTCGCCACCGACCTGCATCATGTCCGGCAGGTGCCCCTACAGCACAAGATCGCACAAGGAGTCAGGCTGCTTGAGCTCCTGCGAAGCTACGTTTACGCGCACAAGTTTGTGAACAATGCCATGCAATGCCCGTTAGCATGACGTGGGCCAGACGACTCAGACAACTACTGCCAAGAACTGGTTTCTTCACTTGAAGCACTGGGATTCTGCCGGCTCAGAGTGGCCTCTGCCTCGGCGCGAACGCCTTGCATGGCAGAGAAGTGGCCCAGGTCCTGGCGAGAGTGCCCTGCCCCTGCGGAATGCTTTGATGCATGTGACTTCAGTCTCCCACTGAAGTGCGAAATTCATGTTGTCCTACTCAGATTTGCTAAGCCAACGAGCTCAACTAGGACCCAATCACCTGAAGAGAAGAGAAGAGCAAGATGGCCCAAAGCGGGGAACTTGCCAAATTGAGAGACAGAGCTGTCCCCACGAAGGTCGCTTCGCAGCTGCTCCGGCGCCTCCAGCGGAGTAGGACGGATGAGAGTCGGTCTAAAGATGCCATGACTCAGCACCTGACGTTGCTCAGCGTGCCGGGCCTAAGGTCTCGGCAAATCCTACGTCCGTTCCCGCTGGTATGTACTGCTCATGGCGTCCGCCGCCTTGGGATAATGTCTCCTGTAGCCCTATAGGCTCCCGGGCGGAAGAGCAGCACGGAGCGTCGAAGAACCAGATGAGCCGCCCGGCGGTGACAAGGGCCTCGCGATCTTGAAGGATGCTCACGGCCGTGGGCTTCAGATGGTTCTCGCATATGTCACAGCCACAGGGCTTGACACTCGTGCCGAGGGCCCTGGCGCATCGCCGGCTTTGCGGCCAATGCCCTTGATCTCCACGAGCTGGAGACCTCGGTGTCGGATCTCGTCACGACGATGCAGCTCGGAGATGAGAGCCACGGCTACGAATTTTGCAGCAGACTTCCGACTTCCAAGCGGAATCTTCCGGCATCAGGTCAAGCTTCCTCGAAGTAGAGAAGCGGAACCCAAGAGCATTGGCAGCATGAGCAGCGGCTAGCAGCAGACAGGACATGACAGGACTCGGTACAGCAATTCCAACGGCAACATGCTCGGGCCGCTTGGGTCCCTGCCGCCTTGAGAAGTTACCTTCCAGTCAGTTCAATGTAAGGAGCTGCTGCTGTACCAGAAGATGAGACACATTTGAGAAGCCTTCACTGGGCCTTCACATCCACGCCAGGCACCATCTCCTGTGCAATGTGTAGCGCAGTCTGTGCCTTAGATGTCCGCGCGTGCCGGTAAAGAACAGGAGCCTTGATGAGGGCAGCTTCAAAGCTGAGTCGACAACATGCAGAGTCAGCTCCTCTGGTCAGCATCATGCACTTCTACGCAGCCGTCTGTCTTGCCAAGGTTATCCATAGCTTGGTGGCCTCAAAGCTGGAGGCTGCAGCAGGATCTGACGAAATTCTAAGGGACATGCACTGGAACTGCCATCCCCCCGGAGCAGGATAACTGTGATAGTCAAAAATCTGCAAATGTGCTGATCACGGCTCTGTCGCCCTCCCTTCCCCTTCTTGCAGTAGCAGTTGTCGTCTGATCGTCATCGCGATAGCTGCCTGTACATGCCATCTCTCGTCCCGAGTCCCGCTGTGTTGGCGGTGCCAAATGCACAGACAGCTGCACGAAGCGGCTGCACAAATTGCTTCGGGCTGCTTAGAACTGCACATCAACTGTCTGCTTAGAACTGCACATCAACTGTCAACTCACCAAACCGTGAGCTCAAGCTGCTTCATTTGGCCGAATTTCCCCGTGTTTGTAGTCACGTCGCTCTGCTTTGGGCTTACCGTTATATGCGATGCACCAATCAGTGCGTGGGCATAGACCGTGTCCGTCGCAGCAAATGTCCGAAGCCAATTGGCCTGCAAACTGCAACAAAGCAACACTCCGTTACCTCTACGTCCAAGTTGCTGCCACATGGCACCGCACAAAACGATAGGATAAAAGAACACGCAACCCCTTTCAATCTAGGACGGCCAACCTACTTCCTGCTAGCCCAGGAACCTGCGACCATCTGGGTGTCGTACTGCGTGCCATGGTCATCCACCAGCACTGGCACACTCAGCGTTCCAGCAGGAATGTGCCCGGTCTCAATACAAGGCCAAGCTCCTGTTGGATTCGGCTCTTCTGCGACATCCCCTTGCCACTTGCCATCCTTATTGAACACCGCAAAGACCGTCACCCAACCACTCAGGTAACTAGGCCCACTTCCGCCACCCAGGTGGCAGCAAACCTTGTCCCAGAAGTCTAAATCAGCCTTTCCGGATGCTGAGGCTACGAACTGGTCCAGCACAGGCGCCAGCATCGTAAGCCATTGACTCATTCTCCGATCTGTCAAGTCGAAGTCACGCAGGCGGTCTGCCTTCTGTTGTAGCTGCATCCAGTCTTCCACAGTGCCCAGAAGGGTCACCTTCGGAATGCCGCACATCAAACAACAGACATACTCGAAGTAGTTCTGCAGCGTCGACATGACAGACACAGCCGCAACGACACGGTCATTTACCGTGGTCGTGCTGAATCCTGGCATCAGCCAGGCCACCATTTCTGGATCCTTGATGTTCTGTACTATGTTCTCATCAACCATGCGCTCTGCGAACTCAGCGTAGTCAGCCGTGAAGAGCGTGCCAGCCATTTTCACGACAAGGGTCATCTTCCCCTCAAAGTTTACCAACCTGTCGCGCAAGGCTTCTGCATTGGCATTGACGTAAAAGCTGAACTGAGTCAGAATTGCCTGCCACACGTCATCTGGCCGCAGGACCAGCTCGTGGTGCCGGTTGTACGCCTCCATGATGGTGGAAACC